AAATACCATTTTCCTTGAACCAAATGAGCTATACGAAAAATAAGATTTATTACCAATCACAGATAATGCACCAGTGCGTTCAGATACATCGGCTCACTTTATTTCTTCGGAAGCAAGCAACTGTGGCCCACACAGAATTCCCTTCAGAAATAAATTATACTGTCCGCAGACATCCTTGGCCTGCAAAATAATAAATAAGCCGACGCCCTTTTCCTCGTTGCAGGGAGGGAAAATAACACTGGCAACATGAATGCACTCAAGCTGTAAAGTAACAACCACTCATACTGTTAACGTTTGACTGCTTCAAGTTCGGTGCAAAAACGCATGATCACACCGGCAAATCTAAGCTTTCCCCAGAGCGCTGGGTAACGTGGTTGGGAGTGATGGGCGGGGATAGGGCAGGCTTTCTTGTTTTTATCCATAAATTTAGATTTTTCTTCGCTTTAATTTCTAGGCTCAAGTTTACTCTAATTTACTCCTGAAAACCGATGATAACAGCCACTTGTTACTGACTCATTTTAAGAGTCGAAACTTCCTTCGTTATTCACGTTCTATGAGAAGCTCTATAACCGACCTGTGCGTCGACGACAACGGGCAGTTCCGCCATCCCGTGCACGCCAAACTGGCGTCTTCCTTGCCGCTTCCGCTTCTGCCGTGCGTGCTGCAGCTGAGCCCCCTGCCATGCCTGCTGAGCGACGACCGTTGCCACTCGCGCTGCAAAGGCTCCTCTCTGGCCTTTTTCATGCAGTGGAGGGCTGGTTTTTGGGCCCTTTTCTGCGTGAGGCTGGGTTGAAGGCCTCGTGCCAGCAACTTCTCGACTCCCTGCCATTTGCTCATCTGCAAACAATCCCGCTGATATAGCGCACTGCGTGCACATCTTGGCTAATTTTAAACAAACAGGAAAACTTTTATGTGAAAATTTTTATCAAGAACTGCAACTTTGCCCAGACAGTCACTGTAGAATGCTCCCATATGCCGATCTCGGGGTGCATACTTCTAGTTAGCATCCAGCGCAATTTACAATATGCTATCATAAGTTTATCATGCGGATCCACAAATTCTACGCAAGCCAACCATCAGATTCATCCATTATTTCTAATTCAGGTAAACAAAAGATTATCTCTTTCCATAAATTTATGATACTGCAAGCACCAAAATCAGTTGAGAAATTCAAAGATGAGAAGGTAGGTTGATGAGCAAGGGCCAATGCATCATCCTGAATGTTTGAACAGCGACAGAAAATCCCCTAATTCACCGAAATCGCCTAATTCACCGTCTGGAGCATGTAGCCATCTACATACTCCAGACGCGCCACACTGCATAATGTGAACATCACCGCACAAAAAGCTTTACCTCCACAACTCGTCCACGTCGCGCAAGATATCACGTTGCATGGCGTCCTGCGCAACCACGACAGCACTGCAGTTCCGTCGGCCGCGATAAAACCAATAACGTGAACGGCAGTAAACTTAATACATTCCCAGTAATTCGACCACAATAAATTCTGAAAGAAATTTCATTCGCTGAGAAA